GACTGACCATGAAGTGATTCATGACACAGGAAAGAGGAAGGCGGTATCTGGCGTGATGTCCCTGAGTGCACAAGGGGAAGGAGTGACCTTAACGGCCACAGAAACTTCTTATACATTAGCAGGAGGGAATGCAGGACCTATGAGTACCTAGGAGTCCCTGGGTGGTGTAAACAGTTAACGTGTCTGTTAACTGAAAGGTTGGAGGTTTGAATCTACCCAGAAGCACCTTGAAAGAAAGGCTTGGTGATCTACTTCTGCAAAATCAGCCACTGAAAACCCTGCTGAGCATGGTTCTACTCTGACACACATGGGGTCACCATGAGTTGGAATTAACTCGATGGCGACTGGTTTGGTTTGGTTTTATGGGCACCTAGGCATATGAGGAGTGAGATAGTGAAGAAGTAAGAAGGTAACATAGTTAAGTACCTGACATATAGAAGGCATACAACAAAACTGTTCCATTCTCTTTGGGCTGTTTTTGTTGTTGTTTTTTTACATAACGCTAACAAGTTGAAGTCACAGATGGCTGCTTTACCAATCAGTAGGTTGTTAAGAACAGAATTATTTGGCTCTAGAAAATTGTGCAAGGCAAAATGTTGGTGAAATATATATGTGGCATATTAGTTAGGATTATTTGGCTGTATATATTTTTCAAAAAACCAAGAAAAGACAGGGATTTCTTTTTTCTCATGTAAAAGAAGTCTAGAGGTTGGCAGTCTGGGGCTGATATTTTGGTTTCATTGTTCCATCAGTGACCTGCGCTCTTTCTCACATCTGGCTTCTATTCTAAGATTTCTTAATAGTCCAGGATGACTGCTAGAGCCCCATCATGTCCCAGTCTCAGCAGCAGGAAGGAGGAGGGAGGAGGAAGGAAAAGGGCCTGATCCCTTCATTTTAAGGAAACTTCTTGGAAGTTCCATGCAACACTTCTACTTGTATCTCTCTGGCTAGAACTTGATCTGCAAGGGAAATACAGCCTTCCAACAGGGCATATAGCTACCCTGAATAAAATGAGGGTTTAGTTATAATCTTCACTTTAGCATTTGTAGAAAGAGTATAGTTTTGATACAAAAGACTTGGGTTTGAACCCGAGCTCTACCATATACTACTTGTGACCCTGAACAACAGGCAACTGGTTATTACATTTGTGCCTCAGTTTCCTCTTCTATAAAATTGAGCTAATACTACCTACTACACAGGGTTATTCTGAGGAGTAAATGAAATAATACAGGTAAAGTGCTATGGTGTCTGGTATAAATAGGTACACAGTAAGTGGTAATGTTATATACATATATGAAATAAAAAGTGAGTTATTGTAATTATGTATTTGTGAAAACCCATAGGATTGTACAACACAAACTGAACCCTGAACTATGGACTATAGTTAATAATAACATATCAATATTGGTTAATCAATTGTATCACATATAACACAGGAATGCAAGATGTCAATAATAGCAGAAACAGTGTGCAGGTGGTGGGGGTTATACAGGAACTCTATGTACTTTCTGCACAGTTTTTCTGTAAGCCTAAAACTGCTCTAAAAAAAAGTATTTTTTTTTTAAAAGGAATCATTTAATAGGCCTTTGAGAGACAGTGTCTAGTTATTCAGGCTGATTGGCTACTCAGAGTTACAGGTTTAATATCAGAATCACCATATCCACTTCCCTTATATTATATAAGCAATACCCTGAGATCAAGGAAGGAGAGTTGTAACATACTGTCACTGGCATTTATTGACTCCAGCTAATTTAATCATGCCCAATCAGCTTGTTCAAATTCATACTTGTTCAAATGCTTTCAAATAATCTCTTCAGCTGGTACCAGCCCAACTGCAAGCCCTGAGACAAGCCATTTGGGAAAAGCTTGCTGAAATATAGCTATTTTCCCAAGCACATATACCTTAATTTTAGATCTTCAAAGAGCAGGTAAATGCTTCTCCAGCCACTGCCAGTTTTTTGATCTGTTTTTACTGATTTTAGATAATACCCGTTACTGGGGTCATAATCAATAGCTGGTGTATACAACACTGGACCCTGATTGCAGGTGCTGTTATATCCACCAACCCAGGCTCTGCACCCTGCAATTACTGTTTACGAAATGAACAGGCTAATCAGCACCGGGTTTTGCAATGTCATGCGTTACCATTTCCCACTCAGGCAGGCAAGGGATGGATAAACACTTGGCCCTTGGCAGAGCTGGTGCCTCTAGTTAGTCAGCAGAAAATGTTTCATCCAGTGAAGGAGCTGTGAGGAGGGGAAATGGGCCAAGTGGTCATGAGTTTGTCTGGCACCTAAATGGAACCGCAGGAAGGAGACTGAATTTAGGGGAAAGGTGAAATTTTAATAGGTTTTCTCTAATCACATCACAAATTACTTTAAGCTGAAAAAAGCAAGTGATGGACCCAAAGAAACGCTGCAGAATACTTACGTTTGACCTTAAATTATTCAAGTAGCTGCAGCCATCGGTCAACAAGAAGGGAGAGAAGGTGTTTCACAGAGAAATGGCTAACCTGAGAGATGGGGGCTTGTGCAGCATTTCCCCCTAGCCTCATGAAAGGCAGTGCAGTACACTGGAAAAGTCAAGAGCTTTCGCTCTGCCACATAGTAGCAACGTGGATTTGGCCTTGAGTGAGTTCCTTGATCACTGCACACTCAGTTTACAAAGTTTACAGGGATAACATCCCCTTCAATACTTGTGAGGAATAAATGACAAAGTATGTAAAATATCTAAGAGGTGCTTAACCGGCCCAGTGATAGGTGCTTAACACGTTAGTGCTTTCTGCTTCCTTCCTACAATTGTCCATTTTTTAAAATTTTTAAATCTTTTCAATAAAAACTAAAATATGTATATTCTATATAGGAACAGAATATACAAAAGAAATGCATCACTTAATCAACTTTTCTAAGGTAAACACCTTTTTGTTTGGGTCAAGAAAAATAACTTTGCCAACCACCCCAGAATCCTTCTTCCTCCTCAAAATTACTACCTTGATTTTCCTAGTAATCAAACTAGTAATGCACCTAAGCGTGCATCTCAAGGTACTGGAGTTTAGTTTTGCCCAGTTTTCTAAAATTTCATGTCTTTTAAATTATTTTAATGTACAGGTTCCTTCTCCATCCCTTTCTTTTTACAGTCATCGTTGAAGAACGTGAGCTGTTTGACCTGCAGTTTCCCCGTCTGGATTTTGCTGATTGCATTTTTATGGTGCAGGTCAACATGTTCTTCTGTCAGTTGTATATTCTGTAAATTGACAGTTGGATGCAGAGGATGATCAGACTCAGGTTTGATTTCTTTGGCAAGACTATAGAAAATGGTATGTTCTTCCATCGGGAAGAATGTATGTTTTTGGAATGTTAGCAGCAATGGATATTCACTGAGTACATCCATTATTCATTTAGGGTTATAAAATGGTAATATTCCATTCCTACTATTAAAAAAATGAGTTGGAATATTCTTATAGAGAACTACCCTCATCTCTGTGGTTACCCAATGATACAGTTCACGTAAGAGCAAGATAAATGTTTCTTTCCCCTTATTTTTAACAGTTTTCAAGATGAGTTTGTTCTCTGTCATCCTCTGAAGGTGACTAATTAGTTTTAAAAACGTCATTATAAATTCATGAGTTATATAATAAGTATATACATACATATGTGTGTGTGTGTGTATATTATTTTTGTTGTTAGTTGCTGTTGATTCCAACTCATGGTGACTGCATGTGTGCAGACTAGAACTGCTCCATAGCTCCATAGGGTTTCTAAGGCCATGACTGTTAGGAAGCAGATCACCAGGCCTGTCTTCTGAGGCACCTCTGGGTAGGTTCTCACCACCAAACTTTTGGCCAGTAGTCAAGTCCTTAATTGTTTGTGCCATCCCAGGGACTCTCGTGTGTGTATTCTTTAAAAAATACCACATACTTTGATCTGTACTTTACTTTTTTCATTTTTTTTTTGTGTATGATTCCGTGAATATTATACGCATATAAAAGCATTCATGTGCATGTTGATGGATATTTGTTTCATTATCTTGCGACTGCAAACAATGCTGTATGGAATATCTTTCTTATATATTTCCTTACATATATATACTTGTGGGATAAATTCCTAGAAGTGAGATTGCTGCTAAAAGGGAGTATGGATTTAAAATTTTCATAGATCATACCAAATTGTCTCCCACAGAATTTATACCAATTACATTCCCATGAACAATATATCAGTGATAAGGCATCCTTTCAAAAAATACTTTGGGTTGGGGGGGTGCAAGGGGTTAGAAAAAGCAAGCCTGAATTTTAATAAAGGGAAATACATGGGGAAAGGCCATGGTGGAAAGGAGGGGTTGGACTTGGGTAAAGGTATTGCAGCTGTAGAGCAAGTGCTAATTAAAAATGGTATTCAAAAAAGAAAGGGGTAGATGGAAGCAAATAAAATTCTGGCACCGGCAGTGGTGGTATGGAAGAACACTGATTTTGATGGCAGTATCATGTTCATGGAGCCCTGGTGGTGCAGTGGTTAACAGCTTGGCTGCTAACCAAAAGGTCTGCAGTTTGAAACCACCACCCACTCCTTGGAAACCCTATGGGGCAGTTCTACTCTGTGCTGTAGGATCGCTATGAGTCGGAATTGACTCGATGGCAATGGATTATCATGTTCACAGACATCATCTTATTTAATTCTCACAGTAGCCTTAAGAGGTATTATTTCCTTTTTACAAATAAGAAAAGTAGAGGCTATGGGGATAACAATTTCTATTTCACAGGATTGTATGAGTGCTAAATGATATAATGTGAAATCATTTATTAGAGTGTGAGCTTCTTGAGGGCATAGCCATCTTAAACCTAGCACAGTACTAGGTAAACACCCTGGAAATCAATAAACAATTTGCTGACTATTTTTAATAAATGACAGAATCTAATAGAGTTTGTCACATAAATACGTGCTCAATAAATAAATGTTTATTGACTCTTCAAAGATCAGCACCTGAAAAGAAAGTCTGGTTGGCCACAATACCACATAGGATTCTGACACCTATAGAACAGTCAGTCAGTCATATACAATGAATTTAAGAAGAAGTTCAGTAATTGGATTCAGATAACTTTTTTTATGAAAACAATTCAGGTGACCAAGCGCAATTAGTTTCAGGCACTGATGATGGCCAATTTTCTGAAAATGGAGGGCAACATTTGACTTTTGAACATGAACCAAGTCCAATAACTGACTTTCTAGAAATCCAGCCTGAATGTGTACAGTTATATTTAGGAGTTTTCTGTTTTATCTCCTTCTTAATTAAACATTTATCCGTTCTCTGTTTAACATGTTTCAGTTTCTTTCTTGGTAACTCTTTCTGATCAGGGGAATAACAGGCAGGAAGGCACTTTCTTAGATCCACGGTTTGGAACTGAAGATAATCTGAAAAAAATTCTTTTTTTGTGGTAGGGGGAACCCATTCATCAGGATCAGTCTCAAGGCACTCAGCAACAGGACTGTGGTTGAAAACCACTGGTTGTGTAACGCCAGATATAAATGAATTTTTGGATCTCTGGATGTGTGTTTTTTTATTTTGTGGACCACTTGGGGTGGCTTGCTGTGTGTCAATTTCAGGTGAAATCCTTGTATTTTTACAGTTAGCATCAAGATCTGAATAAAAGGCAGGTAATTTTTCAAAAGCTCCTTTCATCCCATGAATTCTTGTTTGGTGGAATCTTGCAACTGGAGTTGATTGTGAATATGGAACAAAGTCTTGGCTACCTTCAAAATCATATTCTGAATCTGACTGAAAACGAGGGGGAGAAGAACATGTTCTTGGATACATAGAGGCAGATATGCTTTTCAAGGCTAATTTCTGTGATGACTGGCTTGACTTTTCAGAAAGTGATCTCAGTGAAAAATCAAACTCTGAAGGATGACTTTCTGCCAAAGACTTTTCCCACTTTAGTAGAATATCCTGTGATTTTTTGGTAATTTCTGTTGCAATGTCCATTTCTTTACCACTAACATCAAAGAGATCAGCAGAAGCATTGTAGCTTCCTTCATGGCCAGTAGAATACCTCTGTGTTAAGTTATTATTGATAGGTCCATAAGGCATTTCTTTCAATGTATTTGTACTTGTATTTGGACTACTGCAAAAAGGTTCTAAAGAAAATGTAAGTTTCCTGCAAACTGTAAAACTGTCATCTTGGTTCTCTGGCCACCGATAATATTGCTTCTTTTCTAAGCTGCAAAGATCAGAAACATCATTACATTTCCTAGAACACAAAGTTGTCAACTTTTCACTCATTTCTGAAAGTGATTTTTCTCCATTAGTATATTTGATGTTGAGAAAAGAATGGTCACTCTCCGAAGTAGTGGGCCTGGGTGAAATTTTGGCCCTGTGTGGTTGGATTCTGGTTGTCTTCTTAAGAGTAACTGTTGTTTCCAAATCTTTAGAAGACGAAAATAGAGCTGACAGATAAGTATTTGGTAGAACATAATCAGAAATATCTCTTCCATTAGCACTTAGAGAGACAGTCTCTGCTATGTTATCTTGTTGAGACTCCTTTTGAGCACTAGGACTTGGATTTGCTTCACACTTAGAAAGGAAGTTATCTTTGCTAGAGTTTGATTGGACTGTTGCTTGTGATGATCTCAAAGCTACAGGTGGTGTTTGTAGGGCTCCAGCAGTCCTCTGGGGAGTCACAGATAAATGGCTTTGGTCTCCATGTAATTTATCAATGTCATTATCTAAATAATATTTCCTACTACTGGCATCTGTCTGGGTTATAGCAATCTCACTTTCGATAACTGCCAGAAATTTGTTGAGGCTTTCAGAGAATGGTAGATCATCCCACATCTCCGGGTCACAATCCTGGGAACTACCAGCTATCTCTTCAAGTCTGAGTGATGAAGGCGAACAACATGCAGCTCTCTCTTGGAGACTAGAAGGGGCATGGGCATCATGATGCTGGCGACATGTTAGCTCAGGTTGGGAATGCCTAGTTTTAATTTCCACTGCACTGTGGAAGGACTTTGTATTGCTTGGCTCAAGGGGCTCTTGTATTTTCAAAGGGAATAGATTAGAGTCAGTAACTCCAATTTCATGATGATTGCTGCAAACTGCACTCAGCTGATTAGCTTGTAAGCCAAGTTCTTCACCCAACTTTTCTGCTTTGCACTCTTTATCCATATATAAAACAAAACTACATGAACTATGAATGGGATCATGGTAGCTATGGGAACCAGTGACCTCTGCAAAGGAAATACACTTTCTGTTCTGGTGAAGAGTACCAATGGCCTTGCTTTGTTCTGAAGCTGAAAGATCATCATCATCTGTTAGCTCTGAAACAATGGAAGTGAGTTCAAGTGATGACTGCCAGAATCTCGAAAAATTTTCCCTACCACGGGACGTAAAAGAACAAGCACTACTGTCAGAGTCACATATGCTGCTGGGATCACTATTTGAGTGACCTAAAGCAAGTACAGAGCTATTTGCCTGGGAGCCATGGTGAAGTTTCCTTAAGCTGGAAGGCTGCAGAAGCTGACGGTAGTAGTCAATAACAGTGAAGCCTGCAACACTTGGGTCTGGCAGAACAATCTGGGAAGCTACTAGCGCTTTAACTTCTCTCTTGCGGTCAGGGCATTGCCGTAAGAAGTTATTGGAATATGAACCTTGGCTTTCAAAATTCTGTGCAAGAAGTAAACAAATTTAAATGAGAACAAAAATTTCTTCCTTTGACTCAAATGTGAAATAGGGATGTCAAGGTTAAAGAAGAACAACTATAATTTTCCACCCTTCACCTTTCCTAACTTCAATTCCTTTAGTATTAGAGGTGAGAAGCCCCGGCAGTGTAACAGTTAAGCACTCAGCTGCTAACTGAAAGGTCTGTGGTTCAAATCCATCTAGCAGCTCTGTGAGGGGAAAGACCTGGTGATCTCCTCTCGTAAAGATTACAGCCTAGAAAATCCTATGGGACAGTTCTACTTTGTCATATGGGGGTCACTGTAAGATAAAATTGACTCAAGGGCACATAACAACAGTGTTAGAGGCAGAGTAGCATGAGTAAGAGAATGTAAACCTTGGAGTAATAGAGACTGTCTTCAAATCCTGGTTTGAAGACATTTACTAGGGTTGGGTGTTTAGACAAGTTATTTAACCTCTCTGAGCCTTAGTTTTCCCATTTGTAAAATGAAGATGAAAATGACTTAGTTTTATTATTGGTAAAATAAGGATAAAAATGCAGGATTACTGCACTAGCAATAACATATGGAAAACTGCACAGTTCTTAGTAAATAGTAGTCGCTGAACAAATGGTAGCTACTATTATACTTCTTGTTAGCTTCTAGAAACTTTGAGTTTTAAGGGAATGTCCTCCCTTATTTATTCATTTTTAATGAACCTTCTAAGGTTTTAACAAAATAAAGCTCTCAGTTTCATCTTCCTTTTGGGTTTTTCTCACTGTTCAGTTGTGCAGTCCTCTATTTCCCTTTTTAAAACCCTGTTTCCTGAGTTCAAAAATTTCATATGTTCCTTTTAGCATAAATGAAACAGAAAATGGTAATAGAAATATAAATAGCATAAATACATTCAGAATTCCAGAGAACATGTTTCTGATACCAAGATAACAAACTATAACAACTCCAAAGGGTTGATACAGCTTTGAAGTATCTTTTATGGCTAACGTTGTCTGCTTCTACAGGTCTGTGTTAATTTATTTCTCCTAGTGAGGCTTTGGCCCCAAAGAACCCTGATGTAACATTCTCCAGGCCTTTTCAAGCCCTAATGCCCTAAGACATCTATTGTAAATAATGAACCAACTTTTCTCCTATGCATCTACAATAGTACTAGCTATGTACCATTTCTAGAGAGAATTGAGAAAACAGTCCCTAAAATCATTTTCTGTGTGGTTTAATTTTCTTGCAGAACCCCAGGTGAGAAAGGCTGATTTGATTTAATCCCTCTAATTAGGACTCAGTTGACTGGTAGACAGGGGCAACTCTTCCACCTCAAGAGATCTTAGCCACTAGAACTGTAGAAGTGGCTCTGCCTATTAAAGGTCCACATTTTAACTTTTATTTTTAAACTATATGATGTCATTTTTCCTAACGTGTAAAGTCTAAAATCACTTTTGTAAGTGTTAAAATATGTATACACTGTTCAATGTAGAATTAGAGTTAGGGTTTAAAAAAATTCTTAATTAGGAGTCAACTAGAAGCCCTGATTTATCATCTTGGCTTTTGCCACTTACTAGCTATGTGACCTAACCTCTCTGAATTTGTTTTCTCATATGCAGACTGAAAATACTATATTCCGAAAACGGTTAAATCAACTGTAAGGTTTCTTCCAAAAAGGCCTGAATCCTAAGGCTCAAAGAAATCTCATGAAGTCAAATGGATAGGTTTTCATTCAGATTGAAAGGTAAAATCCCATTTTTTTTTTAAGTTAAAAAACAACAACAACAAAATTCCATTACCAATAGGCAACATATCTGTTTTCTAGGCACAATGCCTGGTACACAGTAGATGTTCAGTAAGTATCTGACAAAAGAATAAGTGACTAATCCTTTAGAGTTAGTACAATCTTTTAACTTCTTAAGTGACTTTTATAATTAAGACCATCCTTCTTAACCTATTCTTAGAGCTCTTATCAATACCCAGATACATTGTTTTCAGTGTTAGTTCCCTCCTTCTTTTCTTTTTATAGACAACAGAATTAAAAAGCTGCAGAGTTGATGAAAGTTTTACTACAGAGCTTGAACAAAATTTGGAGCGTAAAATAAGCGCCAAATATCAAAACAAGATATTTAAGACTTTTGAATTTATAATAAATTTAAATTTTTTTGAAGCTCTGAAAGCATTATCTGAACTAAGCTCTTCTGACTCTTCAAAGGGGAAGTTGACACACATAGTGTTTTAATAGATCACATATAGGCTATTTTTCCACAGTTTAAAGTGCTTTCCCAGGCTTACATTTATATAAGCCTAAGAACTACTAAGAAAATTCAAATCATTTCATTACAATGGAAACGTTAATAGAATATGAAAAAGAAAGCTAGTCTCAATTACCGTCACTCCAAAAATAAAGCTTTGTCCAACAAAGCAAGTTTCAACTGCTTTAGTTAATAGGTTCTGAGTTGTACCACTGTCCAGTGTTTCTGGAATTTCATTAGGATCTTCCATGTACCTTGATTGGAAAGAAAACAAAGTAAAATATGTGAAGAGATAAACTTTGAAATTCTAACCTGCTATAAAATCAGAAGGATAATTAGCTTGAAAATGTAGCATGAACCTTTTGTGTTACATATAGAGAAAAAAAGTGATTTCAAAAGATAAGCATTTTGTTCCCTCTAATTTCCCATAGCCTAGAAAAATAAAAATAATTGATCAAGTGTGAATAAAGCAGACATCTGCCTAATAATTAGTCCCAGAAATTTAAATATTTTAGAGAAAAATAAAAGTGGCAATGGGAATAGTGGTGGGCCCTCTAGCCTTTCTCCTCAAAAGAGAGAGAAGTTTCTCCTCTTCCTCGCCAATCCTGGCTGTGGTTCATCTGTTGGAACCTCAGTTTGCCCTAAACCAGAAGGACATGAGCATAGATTTCTTCTGCCAAGTGATTATGGGACATGTAAAAGATTTAAGGGGAGGAAAAGCTTCAATTACTCATGTGTATTCTTACATTCTCAGGACATCTTAATAGGTCAAAGTATGGAGATAAAGTTGCAACACAAAGGAAAGATGACAAAATTTCAACTTCTGTTATGCAAATATTCTCTCAAATAGCTTCTTCTGCCTCAAGGGACCTTAGCCACTTGAATGTTAACCTCAATTTGCATAAACCTTCAATTTGAACTGATTTTACTTTCTTTTTCCAAATTTCTCTAACTTGGATTAGTTTTGTAATTTAAGTCAATATTTTATTATAGCTTAGTTGGCCTGAATAAAAGGAATCTGGTTTAACATTATGCATTCAGGAAATAAAAACCTCTCACTTGATTATCTTTTAAAAAACTGATGATCTAAAAAAAAAAAAAACAACAAACAAACTGATGACCTGAGGTCGACTGAGAATCTTTTTTATGAAATGCATATTACCTTAAAACCACGTATCTTCAAATTCTATTGGCATACTAAAGGAGGAGCAAGGAAAATATGTGCTTTAAGTATACCCACCTGTGCAAACCAGTGGCAGTAAGACCAAAAAATGTATCTAAACAGCTTCCAAATACAGTAATGCAAAACAATCTGTTTGATTCTGCAACTTTTAAGGAAAGTTTATATCTGTAACTGGCATTTTCAACTTTGCCAGTAGAGCCACATTTTGGACAATGAGACCTGGAAAAGTGGGGAAAAGAAAACAGAACAGTGCAATTCAGTAAAAAATTTTTCTCATGATGAAAAACAAACCTAAAAAACTAAGGTAAAAATTAAAATAATATTTTGTGTACAAATGTACCTATACAGCTTACCTACTTATTAAACTATTTCAGATCAACATCTTTTGAATTGCCCTGTTCATCACCACTGGCTCTACTGATTTAATTAAGTAGCACATACCAAACTGATAAAAAAAAAATACTGAAGGAAAACTCTGTGTATGTGCATGAGAGAAAGAGCCATCATTAATGAACTGAGGCATATTATGATCTGGGGCAAGGGCAAACTAAATTAAGGAAGTGAGCACCACACCAAAATGGATCTGAAATTTACTGTGTATCTTCTGCTAAAGGAAACCTGGTGGTGCAAAGGTTAAGTGCTCAGCTGCTAATAACTGAAAGGTTGGTGGTTCAAACCCACCAGCTGCTCCATGGGAGAAAGATGTAGCAACCTGCTTCCGTAAAGATTATGCCTTGGAAGCCCTATAGGGCAGTTCTAGTCTGTCCTATATGGTCGCTATGAGTCGAAATCAACTTAATGGCAATGGTTATCTTCTGTTAAGAGAACTATGTCTATTAAGAGAACAATGAATAATCTTGAAATATTTAATATTTATACTCAAAGTATCTAATTGAATTTTTCTCAACATTATGAGAAAAACTTTACTGTGTTCTATTTAATTCATTGGAATATGATGAGAATTTATTATATTACAAAAATCAGACATGAAAATCATGCAAATTTAACTTGTTTTTAAGGCAATACATAATTATGGCCAAAGGCTTTCTAATCAAAAAGTACACGTCAGCTGTACCTCTACCGTCATGCACTAGCTGTTTGGGCTTGGGAGTTACTTAATTCCTTAAGCCTTGATTTCCTCATCTGTAAAGTCCAAAGTTGAAGAAGGATATAATGAGATAAAGTAAATAAAGAATCTAGTAAAGACCTTGACAAATTAATGAGTGTTAGTCTGCTTCCCCCTCATAATTATATTAAATAGTATGATGATTACTGTTACTTCTACTTAGTGTTTTTCTAGCTATTTTCAATACTGTGTTATCAGTTTGATAACCATTTTCATGTTTTAGTTTAGCAAACTGATGCCTTAAGACATCTTTTGGTAATAGATAATACTAGAACTTTCTGTTCCCTTTTTTCCCCCCATCTTGCTAATGACCTGGTTTAAAAAAGAGTGGCAAAATGCACATGGAAAGTAATGTTAAAAAAAAGTTGCATAAATTTGATTGCTGCCAGATAGCCACTAGGGGGAGCCTAAAACCTCACAGCATCTAAGGTGACTATTTTAAACAAAGTTTAGTCTGGTTCTTCATATAAGATGTTACTTAATCATCATAATTAGATCTCTGCTAATTATTTTTTGCCACATTGTGGATGGATCTGCACTAATCCATTCATATGGATTTACTCAAATCTGATGGAGTTTATGTTGTAGTCTGACCATAGAATAAAGTGAGGCAATTGACTCGCTTGAAGATAAAACCTCCTTAGTACCAGACTCTAATGAAATCTAACAAACTGTTTAAATATACATCAGAACTTATTTAAAGGTTATGTATTAAGGTCTAATGTAAAATTTCTAGCAAATCTTAGAATAATTTATATGCATTCAGTGTTTTGCAATTTACAAATGTTTTCTTTCATGTATATTATTTCATTGTTTTTTCATAACACTTCTGGTAGGTAAACAAGAAAGGTATTATAATTATTACCAAACTGGGGTGAGTTTTTGCCCAAGGTAACAAAGCTATTGAACTTATGACCCAAATCCAAGGCTTTAGACTCCTAGTTAATTCTTGTATAACTTCTTATGATCACTATAAGAACAATATGGATAATAATGAACTATCTTGCAAATAAAGAGTATCAGTGATAACCTAACAAAAATGAACTCTGTATTAATGTACACATGTTAAATTATATATACTTATATAGAATGAATATGTATACTGAAGTTATTTATTTATATAGTTTCCTTTATCTTTTTGGGAATAAGGCTGAATTGAAATAAATGTTAGTATGGTATAATATAGATCAGAGTTTCTCAAACTTTAATATCCATACAAGATCCTGTTAAAATGAAGATTTTGTGATTCAATAGCTCTGGGATGAGGCCAAAGATTTCGTGTTTCTAACAAGCCAGGTGATGCTGAGGTTGCTGGTCCTTAAACGATGCTTTGAGAAGCCAGGGTATACACAACATTTTCTTATATATTTATCCAACAATTTGCATTAAGTGGGGACCCACGTCACATTCTGTTGATGTAACTTCTAGAGGTAACCCTATTTCTAAAATGTCATTATGGAATAGCAGTTCTCAAACTTTTTGGTCTCAGAACACTTTATACTCTTAAAAATCATTGAGAACACTAAGGAGCTTTTGTTTATGTGAGTAATATTGATCTATATTTCTAATATCATCTATATTAGAAAACAGAAATTTAATAAATAATAATTCATTAAAAATGATAAATCCATTACATGGATCACATAGGAAAGCTATTTTTATGAAAAATAACTTACGTTTTCAAAAACAAAAAAAATTAGTGAGGAGAGTAGCATTATTTTACTTTTGTAAAATGTAACAAAAAATATATTTTGTGTTCATAATTTTTTTTGAGTATATATATACACAGTATATACACACAGTAGATATACACACACCTGTTAAAAACCCAAAACACATACACACACACAATTTATACAAAATGCATATGACATCTCCTAAGAAGGAGATTAAAAATACTGTTCTATCTCTTCCTCTCTCTAGATCTATTATCACACAGAACCTTTTTCAAAAGAAATCTAACTTGCAGTCCTAATATAAAAAGATGAGAATGAGCTACTGTTGTTGAAACTAAGGTGGGGGCCCCAGAGCCCTACCTACTATTCAGTACTGTCTACCATTAGTTCTCTAATCCCTATCTTCCTCCAGAGGCACTGCCATGGAGCCCTAAGGCTCTGCAGAATATAGCTTGAGAAGACCACTGCTCTAATCTATAAACCTGTCTCACTTGGAGGTTTGAAAAAAAAAAAAAAGTTAATCCCATAAAACACAAAACACCTCTTATGGCTGTTGTCACTAAGGATTTGGGGTTCAAGGAAAATCTATAGGGAGTAGTCTCTTTGCTCTTCACTGTCTCTAAGATCCTCTGCAAAGGCTAGAGTGTGAAACTTCTTTCTCATAAACTTGCTATGCTGTGTTGTTGTTGGTGGTGTTAGTTGCTGTTGAGTTGATTCTGACTCAGAGAAGAACTGCTCCACAGGGTTTTCAAGGCTGTGACCTTTTGGAAGCAGATGGCCACGTCTGTCTCCCAAGGCGCCTCTGGGTGGGTTCAAATCACCAACCGTTTGGTTAGTATTTGAGTGCTTAACTGTGTGTGCCAGCCAGGGAACTCCCTTGCTATGCTGTAAAAATAAAGAAATCAAACTGAGGACTTTGTATCCTACAAATGACTGCAAATAAGAAAAAGAAAAACAGAAATAACATTAGAAAAGATAAGCACCAGGAATAATGGGAATAGACTTTTTGGTAGAATTATTAATGCCATATACGCAGAGAACAGATTACGTATATTTCTGTGGACTGTTTCCATAGGGAAGGACCAAGTGTTGTGGGTTTTATGTTTCTAAATGGTTCATTCCATGTCCCCCTTTCCAGATGTCATTCTGGGTACAAATTCTACCATAATTTGGAGGTAATATAGTGATTATGAATATGGACAGTAGTCAGATTGTTTAGACTTGAATATGTTTCTGCCATTCACTACCTGGCTGTGTGATTTGGGGCAAGTTACTTAAGTTTTCTAAGCTCAGTTTCCTCCTTTGAATGCTGGTCTAACATAACATCCACCTCATGGGGGTGATTATAGTAACAGATATAATGTCGATAAGCATCTAGCACAGTGCCTAACACAAAATAAACACTCATTAGTGTTAACTATTATTACCAGTCCAAAGAGGCAATACTGATATTATTGTTCAACCTAAATTTTTGTTGTAGATTGTCTTTAAAAGAAATACCTTGGTGAAAAAAATCAGTTTTAAAAATAATATTTAATACTCATATATTACTGATTATGTATCAGACTATGTTCTAAGCATATCATATATATTAACTCATTTAATCCTGATAATACTTCTATCAGCTATTATTACTTTCCCCCATTTTACTGAGGCTCAGATAATTTTAGTGACTTGCCTTAGGTCACACAGCTATAAGTGGAAGGGCTGGGATTTGAACCCAGGCACTTTGGCTCCAGAGAATTACGCTTTTAATCACCACAATATATTGCAATAGGTACACTACACCTACAATAGATTTGTAGTAATATCTTCTTCTTGCTGTCGAGTTGATTCTGACTCACGGAGACCCCATGTGAGCAGAGTTGATTCTGACTCACGGAGACCCCATGTGAGCAGAGTAGAACTGCTCCATAGTTTTCAAGGCTGTGACCTTTTGGAAGCAGATTGCTAGACCTGTCTTCCGAGCCATCTCTGGGTGGGTTCGAACTGCCAACCTTTATGCTAGTAGTCAAGTGTTTAAACCACGTGCGCCACCCAAGGATTCCAGCAACAATAGCCACGATTTTGGGAATTCTGATAAATGTCATGTCTTATATTAGGCGATTTCTGTGTATTATCTCTAATTTTACAATTATCCCACATTGTGGATATTATTATACCAATACACATGAGTAATTACTCACAGAGTTCCTGGGTGGTGCAAACAGTTAATGCATTTGGCTCCTAATCGAAAGGTTGGAGGTTGAATCCACCCAGAAGTACCTCAGAAGAAAGGCCTGGAGATCTATGTCTGACAAATCAGCAACTGAAAATCCTATGGAGAACAGTTCTACTCTGACACACATGGGATCATCATGAGTCAGAATCAGCTCAACAGCAATTGGTAATTAGATGCACAGAAGTTAAATATCTTGCCTGAGGTCATACAAGTAGGAACCTGAAAATGGGTGAACTTAAGTCCAGACCTAAGACAACATAACCTATCATACTGTCATTTATTCATTCATTCAACAAATATTTGTTGAGTATTTTCTATGAACTAGGCTCTAGGCTAGTGCTGAGGATTTAATGATGAACACAAACAGGGTCTTACCCTCAGAGCTTACTTGAGAAGATGGCTTAATAAAGGAATAGTGGTAACTACTGGAGGGATGACTTATAGTCTAGTGGTTTAGAACTAACAATCTCTCCCCATACAATGCTAACTAGACAAAAAGACTGACTAGTTAAGAACCTTTGGTGGCACACTATTCTGAGGTACTTCCTAGGTATCCATATGTACATATAAGAGCCTAAGATTTGACCCCTCTTCAAATCTTAACCTCTGACTTCTACTCCATGAAAATCTGAGAAGAATCTTAGGCTTCCCAGGTATACTTGGCCTGAATCTGGGCACCATAATAAAGTAAAATGTGCCAAGAACTGTATGATACAGAGATCACTAAAAATAGCCTCTGCTCAAAAGGAATTTATTTTATTTTTTAAGAATCTGGGGATCATGCACAAACACACACCCCTACACTATTTCCAGGGAATCCCAGAAATGAGCTAAATTTTTGCACAAAAAATGGAACTTATTCTTTGAGAAGCTATTTTTCTTCACTGAGACAGGTAGTTGGCAAAGAGATAACTTGAAACTTCCCTCTAGTAATAGAGGTATCAGCCAGACCTATTTTAGTGCAACAGAAGAACCCAATCCTAGGAGAATCTTATGTCCTAGTGTAGTGAATTTAATCCTTACTTGCCTTTGAGCCATAGGAAATCTACAACGTTCACTTATACTCCCATGCTTACAGGTTTTACTTTTACCTTTCGGAGCCTAGGATTATCCGAGAGAAGCACTTTTGACATGCTGGATATATAAAACCCGAATTCTGAAGAGCAAGTACAGAGGCAAGAAGAAATTTTCTTCTGTTCATGTATTTACACTGTGGCCTATAAAACAAAACAGCCATTAGGGTGAATAACAAATCTTTAACTGTATGTACATATTCATTTCTTAGGAAAATCAATTAACTTCCACTGCAAAGCCAACAGATTTCTTTTGCTTTACTTTCAAAGTGAAGGTAGAAATGTCAATGTATTAGAAGATTTTCTTTTTGCTGCTTAATTAAAAGTATTAATAGAACGAAAATAAGATTTAAAAGAGTGGCTCAAGCAAATATTCTGTTTCTGATTAAATGCTCCATTCCAGTAATTCAGGAAAGATGTCATTTAGCTTCTCCACACATTTCCAAGAGCTATCCCGAACTTGTTTTTACCATTAATGGGAAGGAAATTAAATGAACTTACATTAATCTTTTAAAGAAACTAAATTGATGGAAAAATATTCTTTTTAACTGAAAATTGCTTTATTAGTTTTTAGTGTGCACGTTTTTATATAACTTGAAGAGGGAAAAAAAAGGCAATTCAGGTTTTGTAAACAGAAAAAGGAAAATGTTATAAGGTCAAAGCAGAGCTTAAAGTGTTTTAAGATCCTTGTATAAAACACATCAGAGAAGTAATTCAATAAAATAGCAACATCTTTTCTTTTACATTTTCTCTTTAAAAACTCAAATGTTGCTTTGTTTACCAGAAAAAAATTAAATCAACTGGCTTTTGCATAGCGTAAAATAAATGTTGTCAAATAAAGGTCTCTGTACATGTTCAGGAGTCCTGGTGGCACAGTGGTTAAGAGCTCAGCTGCTTAACCAAAAGGTCAGCACTTCAAATCCACCCTGCTCCTTGGAAACCCTAGGGGGCAGTCCTACTCTGTCCTATAGGGAAATATAGGGTCACTATAAGTCGGAATCGACTCGACGGCAACAGGTTTGGTTTTGGTTTTGGTACATGTTCTAGATAAAAATATATTAATAAACATTCATTTGCAAAAAAAAAAGGCAAAATCTTTCAATTTCTGAAAATAGGTGGAACTGTTTCTGAGACCAGCATCAGTAAATTCTGACAAAGTGGAAGTCATCAGTTTAAAAATGATAATAGAATCTTTTAGGTGCAGTTCTTCATAAGGATGATCATAAATACAGAAATGTGTGACTACTGATGGAAGATTTTAAAGTGATACTAACCTGCCCCTCAATCAAAATAACATTTCTGTAAACATAAAATCCTGCCACCTAAGGCAATAAGACGGAAACTTGCGAAGATGAAAGATAAAATAATTTACATAAGCCATTGATCTATGCACAGAAAAGGCTAATCCTGCCCAATTTTTCTTGCTATTCTTGTTTTGTAGAGCCTTAAGTATACATGGTTGTCACCTTAGGCCACAGAGTGATCTCCAAGGACAAGGTGGAGTATAATATAGGAAACAAGGGGACAGCAGGAAGAAGGGTCACAGAAAACTGCCATCATTAGTGCTATTAACCTCAACTTCCTTGCAAATGCAACAAACGATGGAATATATGTCAGCAAAGGCATTTTCCCTCTAAGCCTCCTCTAAAATCCAGTTTGGGGTGGAGTAAAGCATGGAGGTAGACACACCTGTGAGCTAGGGGAGATAAAACAGGGCAAAGCTCCCTCTTGAAAATCTTTTGTCTTATGTGCTTAAAATCCTATTTAAAATGAAGCCTCAACTCCTTACAAAGGCCTGTGAGTCCCTATGTGTTCTAGTCCTTGCCCACCTCCCCAGTCTCACTCTTCCCCTTAATCACTACACTTCAGCCATGCTGGCTGCCTTTCTTTTAAATACCAGGCCAGATTAAGGCATGTGAGGGCCCTAAACATTGATAATCTGTTGTGCCCCCTCCTCTGCTTACTCACACATTTTAATGGGATATGTGAATTATACACATATATGTGTGTGTATATATATATATATATATATGCGTGTGTCTGTGTATATGTGTTATGACTTAGCTATCCATGATGTAACTTCTTTTTAACGCAATTATAATATTAGCGATTGAATGCAAAAGTGGCTTAAGCCATTTTGGTGGAATGAGATGAACTGGATTATAAAATTTTTAGTGGATGCGGGGTTCTAGATTTTTACTATAGACCACATTTTCTACAAAAAGAATTTTGCACGTATTCTACAGCAAAGAAAATGAGTCAGTGAACTTAGCTGTTTTAACAATCAATGTAAAATTCTGTTGATCTCCCACAGCGAAAATTTGACTTTCACCCATTTTGCTTTAAATGGCTCACACTTCAATTTTGATGCTTGTTTCTATATCATCTACTATTGTACCTTACTTTAATAGTCTCATTATTTATTTCTTTGCGTGTTTTCTATTTGGTTCTATTCTCCCAGTTGCCCTTTCTCTTGACTCTCTTGCTCTTTAGGCTCTAGTAATCTATGTCAGAACCCTGGTGGCGCAGTGGTTAAGTGCTCGGCTGCTAACCACAAGGTTGGCAGTTCAAATCCACCAGCTGCTCCTTGGAAACCCTACGGGGCAGTTCTACTCTGTCCTCTAGGATCGTTAAGAGTCGGAATTGACTCGATGGAAAAGGGGTTTTTTTTTTTTTTAAATTTATGTTAAAGAGTATACAGAGACAATCTGAGCTGTGTTCCCTGTCCGCTCTCCATCCCTCAACAATACATTTCACACTTCTGTGCATTTACTTCTTTCACTCTTCCCTTTGTCTAAAAGGCTCTTTCATTCTCCTGGATAATGCATATTCTTCTTTAAAATTATTCTCAGAGGTCTTCTCCAGGAAGCTTCCCCAGGTTAGGTTAACTGACTCTACTTTTTTAACTTATCACTTACTACATTATATTAAATTTATGTTTAATATGTATTTCTCCAGAACCAGAGTAAGATCTCAGAAGGATCATCTCTTTATACCTCCAGTACCAAGTTCAACAACTGTCAGCTCTTAACTTTCTTCCTGATTTTCAGCTTTCTTTTTCCTAAACCATAGTTCTGTCATATACTATTAAATATAAAACACAATTTGACCAAATCCTAAAATAATCTTATGTTTGTATATAGACTTCACAGAGTATTTTCATTTATAGTACCTATTTTAATCATTATCTACGTTTTAGCCTTACTGCCTATTTTTCCTTAACTGTGGTCATACTGTGAGCAGAAATTACCTTCCTTAAAGCTCTAAAATAGAATTTTACATAATACCATCACTATACAGACACTTATCAAAGCATATTCTTTACACAATTGTTATAAAATTCCAATTTTGGGACATGGATTAAACATGTACCGTGACTAGGGTGCTGTGCTAGTATAGTGGGGGAAAAAAATGAAAAATAAAACTTTCTAATTGGGCAGACAACTCACCAATACACGAAAAACTAAATAAGCAGAAAAACTTTGTGATTAATTTCTAAATTAACTGTGCAAGTATTAATTGCTATAGTTTTAAAGGAAGATTGGTTAAATTGTATTTATTTAAGGTTTTGTCGCCCTCTAGTGGAGCAAACAAGTATGTCTAAAAAAAACAGTTTTACCGGTAAATTTGAGAACTGAAATGAAAAAGGTCAATAAATGATTTTTACTATTTGTGTTTTGGTGGACAAAAATGCAGTAAGATCTTTCCAGCCAGTCACAGTTAGTAATTCCCTTTGCTGTTTTCATAACATTTCCTTCATGATACTTGCCACCTAGTTTGTTTTGTCTCTCTTTTTCTCTACTGCTTGACTCATAGTGTGGTGAGTTCATACTTGATGAATAACTAAATGAAGAGCCAGGAATGAATAAAAATTAAGGTTAGGAAACATGATAATAGACTTGGGAACAATTTCATTACGTGGCATCTCTTGGAATCTATCTTTCTTCTCAATTTTATTGGGAAGGATGGTGATATTAAATTTCTTTCAGCTCCATCAGTCAGAAAACCATATTCCAACTTAAAAAGCTCAAAACATTTACTTATTCATAAGTTATTTATTGTGCAGCTGCTAAATGCCAGGTGTCGGGGATATATGTGATGGGCAAAACAAACAAGGTTCCTATCTAGTCACTAGATTTTTTTCTGAGACAGATAATAAACAGATAACCACACCAAAAATTTAATTGCAATTGTGGTAAATTCTATAAAGCAAAGGTACATAATATCAAGAGAAAATATAACAAGGAATCATTTAGTCTTCGCTTGGGGTGGGAGGGGGAAGAAGAGGAGGATAGTTAGAAAAATATATAATCCTTTTTTAAAAATGTATTTTTTCTCAGAATGGTAGGATTAAAAGTGATTTTTATTTCCTTTATGTATCTAAAGTATTTTTTAAAATGTATTACCTATATAATTATAAAAATCAATAAATGTGATGAAAATACTTGGTAGGGAACTTAGTAATAATATACAAAGAAAATCTAGGTTCCTCTCAATCTCCCACACATAAAAGTAGAAATAAGGAGGTTAGGGGTGGAGAAAGATGGAGAAAAGTGTGTTAGCTAGGTTGATGGGAACCATTTAGGTCCTCAAGTGGCCTTTGTTTTGAAGGCCCAGAGACTGCCTAGGTAATGTTCAGGAATGAAGGCTCTCAAAGACTTACACTTACTAAAGTATGTTGGGTCCAGGCGGACACACTGTAGTGCAGATTTTTAATTCATCATGAAATACTTTGGAATACTTGCTTTCTTTCTAATCAAGCCACAGGGGAGCTAAACCATAACCCAAAGATGCTTTACTAATTTACCACGAAAAATTACTGTCACAGGAAAGGGACATACTAGAAGCCTATATTCTTTTTTTGGGAGGGGGGGGAAGAAAACTACATGTTAAGCCAAATTATAAACAGAAAGTTGCCTGAAGAAGGGGCATTACATAAATCAAATATTTAATGGAATCAGGCTAATATAGCCGATGCATCTGTTTTCATTCTAGAGATGGTTTTGTCAATGCTCATTGATTACAATCCCTTGCATCCCATTTTCATAGTAGCCAAGTGTTTCTCAAATTTTAGTGTGCATCAAAATCACCTAGAGAGCTTGATAAAACACAGATTGCTGGGCCCCAA